AGGGCTGACATCACATTACTAAAATAAGCAGCCAATCAGAAAGATGCGTCATTTCTAAGATTAACGGCATGTGAGGGCCTTGGGCTTGGGCTTGGGCAGAAGAAAGTGGCTCTTCTCACCCGCCCGGAAGTTCTCGCAAGATCAACTCCTCCCCTCTTCTCTCTCTCTCTGTCTCTTTCTGAATACTGTCTATCGGTGTGGACGATCAAATTGACCAAAACAAAGTTTAAAAATGATGTTAAAACACAAAAGTAAATTAATTTGGTTGTCTACAAAGATGCTACGGCTATTTAACTTTTCGAATCGAGCCGAGCTATGCGGGTCACCATTTTGTTTTGCCCGGAAATTCTCGCGCTACTCCTCTCTCTCTTTCTCTCTCTCTCTCCACTGCCCACAGACAAAATTGTACGCTTTTAGTAGGCTACAATTGTAATGGAACGTTTGTTCACGGCACAGAATTCTCTACAGTTTTTCTGTCATCACAGTGTAGAATTCTGTGGTTTAGGGTGAACGCAAAATTTGGTGAACGCGCACCGGGTGAGAATAGCCACAAGACTCGCCTGCACTATTCTCACTCCGGGTGAGAATAGAGGTGGCCTGGGCAGAATTGGGTAAATTGTATAGAAACCCTCCCGTCTCATAAAGGGTATTATTTTGTAGCTCTTTGTAGGTTTTTTAGGGCCCTGCCTGAACACGATTTTAACATTGAAAAACGTCGCAAATGGTTTGTTTAGATGTTACGGCACTTTATTTAAGGGGGAAGACCCCCCCTGAACCCGCCCTACTACACTTTACTACGGCTACGGCCACCTTTATTCTCACCCCGGGTGAAAATAGCGCAGGCGAGTCTTTTGGCTATTCTCACCCGGTGGGCGTTCACCGTTATAGTATAGCCTAGGCCAACCAGTTAAGCGTTCACCCTGAACCACTGAATTCTACACTCTCTCTCTCTATCTCTATCTTATAAAACGTTCTATTACTACTGTTAGTGTTAGCCTAAAGGAAGTGGCTATTCTCATCCGGGATGAGAATAGAAAAACGATCTACCTCTCACCCCGGTTGAGACTTGCCAGCGTAGGCTATTCTCACCCGGTGCGAAACAAAACCTGCTTTTCCTCATTTTGGAATACTGTCTATCGGTGTGGATGATCAAATTGATAAAAGCCAAGAAAAAATTACGTTATAGCACAAAAGTAAGCTAATTTGATCGTCTTCAAAGATGCTATGGCTATTTCATTGTTTGAATCGAGCTGAACTACGCCGGTCGCCATTTTGTTTTGCCCGGAAGTTCTCGCAAGATCTACTCCTCCCCTCTCTCTTTCTCTCTCCCTGTCTCTTTCTGAATACTGTCTATCGGTGTGGACGATCAAATTGACCAAAACAAAGTTAAAAACTGATGTTAAAACACAAGTAAATTAATTTGGTTGTCTACAAAGATGCTACGGCTATTTAACTTTTCGAATCGAGCCGAACTACGCGGGTCGCCATTTTGTTTTGACCGGAAGTTCTCGCGCTACTCCTCTCTCTGTCTCTCTCTCTCTCTCTCCACTGCCCACATACAAAATTGTACGCTTTTAGTAGGCTACAGTTGTAATGGAACGTTTGTTCACGGCACAGAATATAACAATTTTTCTGTTATCACAGTGTAGAATTCTGTGGTTTAGGGTGAACGCAAAATTTGTTGGCCTAGATCTAGGCTATGACGGTGAACGCGCACCGGGTGAGAATAGCCAAAAGACTAGCCTGCACTATTCTCATCGCGGGTGAGAATAGAGGTGGCCTAGCTTAAAAGCGTGCAATTTTGTCTGTGGGCAGTGTAGGCCAGGGCAAAATCGACTTGACTAGTCGACTGTGAGCCCAAGATCGACGCTCTGACCCTCATCTATCAGTCATCGTGACTCTCGACTCTCGGTTACCTAACCTTGTCTTGATCAAGACCAGCCTCCCCTGCCCTTCAACGGAGAGTCGTCAACGTTTGTGGTGGGGTGGGTGCGGCAAAGTTCAGGGTCCCCACAGGGTCGGGAAATCGGGAAAAAGTCGGGAATTTTGAGATAGGTCGGGAAAAAGTCGGGAATTTTGTGATGGGTCGGTAAGTCGGGAATGGATAGGGCCTGTGTAATGTGCAGCTATCTAGACTGTATGGTTGATGAATCCTAAAGAGGAAAAACATAATTGAACCGCTGTGACGGAAGTGTATGTGTGACACCGAGGCTCGATCGGGAAGAATCAAGATCTGCTTTCGTTACCACCCAGAAATTTTTCCGGTAATAGTCTGATAGATAACGCAACATTTGTAACATGCAGGTTGTGCATTATGAACGCTGTGTCGCCTTGAAAATAAATCAATATTAAAAATTGCCCTCTGCTGTCGCTTGTGAAAAAAAAGAAAAAGAAGTATAAATACAAGCGTCTTGACAGGTTCGCCCTTGTGACAGGTCAATGAAGCTGTGAGTACCGGCGGTCTGAGCGCTGTGAAGTGTAGGACTCCTTTATAAGATACACTCGTGGAAGGGGATTGGGGGGGGGGGGGGGGGGTTTGAAGGCAACGCTAGAGGATTAAAACTGAACTTGGAGAAGCGCGTGTTGGTGCAGGCCTTGTGTGGATTCAGGATCCGTGTTGCCTTGTTATTGAACTAAAGTGTTGTGTGGATTCAGGATCCGTGTTGCCTTGTTATTGAACTAAAGTGTTCGCGTTTCATTGGATGGGGTGATTGTAATTTATATCTATTTTATTAGCTTTCTGTTCAAGATTGGCAGATTTTCAGTGTCACTGCATCTTGCGCCGCCCCCCAGTTCTTACACCTCTCACACTGAAGGTGTACTTGAGCCATTCTAGTTATTACTCTACTTTGAGTTGCAGCAATGGTTTTCGTCTACACGTTTATTATATGAATCGTGACGCCCAGACTGGTTATTGACAGTCGATTTTCTAGTTCTAGGTCTTTTTTCAGGCTCAAAACAGGATTCATTTTTTTAATTATAGGGCCTATAGTTTGTTATGTTGGCTAATATGATGAGGGGAAAATATAAATAAGTAAGAACAGACTGAAATACCAAATTCTCTCAAGATCCCAGTGCCACACTGACATGTTGTTGACTGGATATAATGTACCTACATGTGTGTGTGTGTGTGTATTCACAAACATATACATGTATTATATTAGATATAAATGGAGCACACGCTTTCATTGTTATGTAACGTGTTCCTGGAAAATGGATGAGGCCCCTCCCTTGGAAATTGAGAAGCTGGGTTGGCAGTCACCCAGTATTATAGTCATCTATTGTTTGAAGATTACTACAAAATGTACATTTGCATTCATTTATAGACATTTTGACTATTTATCATTGATAGATTGGCTTTTTTGGGGATCATTTTTGACGCGCAGCGGCCTGATTTTTTCCTCGAATTGGGGTCTTGAAAAAAATTTGGGGGTCTTGAAAAAATTTTCCAGGATTTCGTGGGGACCCTGAAAGTTAGAGCAAGCCAAGAAAAAAAATTTTGATCAAGACCTAGGCCCAAGTGTGTGTGTGTGTGTGTAGCAATGCCCACCAAGCGCATTTTGTTCTGCCGATTTTTGGCCCCCGCCGCGGGGGTGTTTCGTGGGACGCACTAACGCAAAGGTTGTTGTCTTCAACTCGCTCTCACGCCGCTTCTCGTGAATGAATATGAATGAAACTTGGCAGCCAATCAGAAAAGAGGTCAATCTCGTAGTATGCAGTTTGACAACATTACAAGAGGAAGACATGACGATTGTGGTTCTATAGATCTTGGGCCTGCCAAGAAAAGAAAACTCTGAAGAGAGCTTGATTTTTTCATCTGACTTGTTTATTTGTACATGTTGTGGATTTCAGTTGAATATAAGCTGTCAAGCTTTTTAGATCTAGAATCTAGATTCAAACTGTTATAGTATTATAATAAGGATTCTACATATTATGGTGCAAACCGACACATGCAGAAAAAAAAGTTGAACATTAACTGTCAAGTTTTATAGATCTAGCTGTTATACTACTGTTGTGGATGTACAGTATCAGTACAAAGGAGAAAGCATGTCTTTGGATTTATATGGATTAACACGAGCAGAAAATTATGTATGCAAGATATGTTTTTTTCTCACTTATTTTCTTGTTAAATTTAGGCTTGAACAGCCTGAAATGACATACTTAGGATGCCCTGAAACCCAAAAATCTCAAATATATTATAAGGGTGTCGCCGTCCTCCTTCAACCCCCTGCCAGGGCGGACCCGAAAATCCTCGAAAAATGACATCAGCTGCTGGAAGCTCTGAAGAATAGAAAACTTTGACTGGCATGCACTTTCAATGTAGGCCCTACCCAAAACTTCCTGCTCACAACTTTTTCACAACACATCCATTTCCTTCCATAACGACTTCAAGTGCCAACTAATATTATTCCCTGTTGCTGTGTTGAGAGTTTCATGAAATCCTACCTGGACATGATTGGATGATGATAGTTTTCTAGATCTATCAGTATCAGCCTCTCCAAAACTGCACTCTCCTTTGATTTACCACATTCTCCGCATGCTGAGAATAAAACGTGATCTGATGATTGGCCTACACATCTGATCATTCGACTGGTGACCTTGGAAAAACAAAAGTATTTGTTTTTTATGGTCATACTCGAATTTGGTCAAATTTTACCATGATGGTAGCTCAATGGATACACGGAGAAGAATTTGGCTGGCCCTGACTCGATTCGACTGAATTTGATTAGTTATGTGCGCCAGATATAAGTGGTCTTTAGTTGTGTGCTGCTGATGGGTTTTTGCCATCATGTTCTAAACCGCATCGAAGCTGTAACCCTTAAAAGATCTTTGAAAATTTACCTTTTTCTTCCTGCCTGCATCCTGTTTGAGGCATCATGTTGTGCATTCTTGCCCTATGTTGCCTCCAGGATAGGGCTGGGTCACGAGCGCGAGAACGGAACTGAATCGCCACGCTTCCCTGCGGAACGCGATTCACTTCAGCGAAACGCGGAACAGTATCGCCAAACGATTCCTGATTCACTCCCCTGTCGCTGTCACCACCTTGTGGCTTGTTTAACCTACTTACTGCTGAGTCGAGTCACGAGCGCAAGAACGGAACGGAACGGAACACTTAGTATGATTCCCCTTATTTTACAAAAGATGGTATAGTCCAACCCCCCTATTAAAACAAAATGAACGGGGTCCAACCAATAGATAAAAGGAATTGTATAGAGCCATTGTTTTAGCGAATTATGGGGTTGGGGGGGGGGTGGATTTATGGGGGTCACTAATTGAGGTCAGTTGATAGAGCAGCGCAACAAAGGGTGTGGGGCGGAGAGGATGGCGGAACAACAAGAGTGGGACTCGCGCTCGCCAAGAGGCGTTGATATGACACTGTTCCGTTGATACGATACTGTTCCGTTTCAGTCAGTGTTCCGCCACAGCTCCACGAGCGCTTGCGTACTCGCGATTCATTGAAGCCGACTGAATCGCGAATCGCCACTCTCAAATTTGATGAGCAGGATCCAGCCCTACTCCAGGAACATGATGCTTAACTTTGTTATAATATATATAAAACTCATACTGGCTTTTGCATTTTGTGAATGCTGAAAGGTTAGCTTCTGTTTTAATTCTCCTTTTTTGTCCTCAGAAAAGCTTGAAGGTGTACGTGAACAGACTGAACACAGTGGAGAATATTGTGCCGTATGAATACCATCAGTAAGTGCTTTAGGTTCTTCTGAAAATTTGAGGGCTAGTACCTGTTTGTTTTTTAATGAACACTAGAGTACTAGGAATTTGGAGAACACTACTATTTATTAATAGTAAGTGCACCCCCTTTCAACTGTTTATTGTTTTTGTTCTTTGGTTTATCACGTTCTCAAAGACAGTAATGTCATGAAATTGTATCTTCTGATAGACATTTCTTTACTTCCATTGAATGAATTGACATTAATTTTAAATATAAGAATGTAGTCGTATGATATGTGAACATTTAGTTTAGTTGACCTTGGTTTACTTTTGGAGTGGATTAGTATGTTAGGTATTGTGCCCTTCTGTTTCTGTCTTTAGAGGAATATATTTATGTAAATGTATGATTATTTATGGCTTTGAATATTGCACAGTTTATTGTAAATTGGCTCCTTTTTTTTTCCTTTTTTTTTCCCCCCTCAGTTTTGATTTTTGCGTTCCGGACAAGGATGTTGCCAACTCTCCGACAGAAAACCTTGGACAGGTGGTCTTTGGAGAGAGAATTAGACCATCCATGTACAGTGTAAGTTGTGTTGTTGTATATAATGTTGCAAATTTACTTTCAAGTGAACTTCTGTTCTTCTGTTACTTGCAATAAGATAAGTTGTATGAGAAGCTAATAAAATCAAGTTCCTTGAATCGTTTTAAGCTTGCCCTGTGTGGATCTGAATCCAGATGTAACCTGACAGTAGCCTGTGGCAGATCTTTACCCCGGGGCGGTGCCACTGACTGAAGTGTCTTTAGGCCATTCCCAAAGGGGGATATTTCTCGTTCTAATGCACAGTAGAATTGTAAATGGGCTGATCCTACAATGTCTTGATCATAACTGTGCCTGAACTATAACAGGGAACTGCTGCTTTTTCTTTCCTAATCCTTTCTATCGTCATTTTCCTCTATTTCTTTTTTATGTTTGTCACACTCTTGTGACCCGCTGTTTCTGGGGTGCCTTGACAGTCGAAGCAGACTTTGTGCTGTTGAAACTAGAGAGGTGAGCAGAGTAGGTCTGATTCCCTGTTTGGACTTCTCTGTTGACATCCACCCCTTGGCGCTCGTATGACCTTATGCTGTTGCGACCGCCGTTAGCCACTGCTTAAGGTCATATGAGCGCCAAGGAGTCATGGTTCCCCTGCAACAGTGCCACTGAATAAAGCTCTGTTGACTTCCTGCAGTGGGGCATATGAGCAATTGCCAAAACGTGAGACTCTTGAGACTCAGTGGTGCAACATTTTTTTTTTTTTACCAATTTGACTCTCTTTTCTGTCAGTCACAGATTGACATTTAGTGCTCATATTCCTAGAGTATCAGAGCAAGGAGATGTACGGTTTTGGAGATATGGGTCTATTGGTTTGGCAACCACTGTATTTCTTGTATGTAACAGTGATGACAAAAACAGACAAGCAGCAAGGCCAATTATGGACTTTAAATTCCATTTGTTTAGTAAACAAAGACTTTGTACACTATGAACTCCATTCATAATGGTAATATGAATGACAAGCTTTGTAACGATGACGCAGTTCACAGAACATGTCATCATTGTTATGTACAAGAAAGGATACACATTGGACATTATCATTGACAACATATCACAATAGTGAAAGGCTGTACAAAAAATACAGTTATCAAAGCCTCAGTACCAGAAAAACACATGTGTAAAACAATTTTTAAACTAATATGAGGCAAAAGCACAAAATCAATTGAGCTGACCTGTACATAACAGTGATGACAAACATGACTTGTACATAACAATGATGACACAATGTACAGGAAAAGACAAAAGTCTTGCCTCCAGAGAGAAAAGTGCACTTTAAGAATTTTTAAAAAAAAGGGAGAGGTTTCTTTTGCTTTGAAACAGATATCAGGTCATATCAAAGACAGTGGACGATCACAATTATGTTGCTAATTATGACAAACAGTACTCGTACATAACAGTGATGACAAAACATACTGGGAAAAGGTAAAATCATGCCTACAAAGAACAAATTTGCACCAAGAGATACACAGATCAATAAAGGCGTATTTTGCTTCTAAATGAATCTTGCATGTATGAAATATATGTTGAAAACTTATTGATTTTAGCAATGATGACAAATATTACTTGTACATAACAATGATGACACAATGTATTGGAAAAAGGTATATCATACCAACAAAGAACAAATGTGTATTTTTGAGTTAGACAGATAAACAAGGACATGTTTGTTTATTTGTTTGAGTAAAGAGAGCACACATTACTTTAAAAATGTTTGCTCTTAGGACAATGTAATTTCTAGTACGTCAGTCAGTCTTGTACGGCTGCATGACGACACCCCAAACGTCATCACTGAGCACAAAAGCTAAATCTATAACCACAGAAATGATCCATCTCTCGAAGTTTGTTCACACATCAAACTCTTGTTCCAGGAATCCAGTGTAAACACCGCAATTTCACTAAAATATTCAACAGAGTAGCCTAAAAACACGCAAAAGAGCCCAGTACGTCACATTCAACGCAAAATTCTTGTGCGTCACCGGACGCTGAAGGCAATGACTACTTTCGTTTTTCTGTTTCCCCCGTTGCTTCCGTTGTTCTGGGGAAAACAATTATATCCGGGCACTGTTGATGACCCGTTCAAAACAAAAGTGGGCGAAATTCGGACTTCCGGCACGTCGGAAATTGACGACAAAAACGGCGAATGTTAAACAGCCGACCGAAATCGTCGATCTAGGAACCCGATGTTCCCTTCGCGCATCGCGGCTTTTGAAGTATTGAATAAACGACGATAGACAAAAAGATTTAACCAGCTACGGTGATTCTACTGAAAAATAATGGTGTTTTCTGAAACACCTAGTCCGTGACGACACGACAGACGCACAAGTAATCGGAATTGTTCGTCTATTTTCAAACAAATAAACCGATTTCTTGAGCAAGTTAACCTTTCTCAATGACAAATAGCATAGGATCAAAGCACACGAAAAAAAACCCCACCCAAAAATACTAAATTTTGGACATTCTTGGAAGTTTGCATTGGTGTGCTCAAAATGACACTCCAGGAATCACTAAAAAACGAACATTTTTGGCACAAAATTTACAAACTCAAGATTATAAAGCTGACATGGGGTCTGAGACTGCTAATGCAGGTTCTACATCCTATATTTGATGTGTGTATACGTTTTGGAGGAATAAATACTAATGCATCACATTTTATGCACACTAATGTGAAATGTGTGTGTTTTTCCCCACGTTTTGGCAATGGCTCATATAAGACATACAAAACTGCCCTGGATGAGCAAAGAAAGGTATACAAAAAAATGCTGTCCTTGCTTTGTTTTATTTTTTCTATTTTTTTCTTCTTGCAAAGGGTTTGTTTTTGGTCTTGCATAACTTACTGATGGATTTGGTTCCATGTTCCAGATGAGCTTCAACAAAGATGTTATGTGTAAGACAGTCTGTAACAGGACGTACACTCCGGGGGATAAAGTCTCACAGGACAAGCTGTCCTTCCTCAAGCGAGGCATCGACCTCAACTATCAGCACCACTGGTAGGTTCCAAGAGTTTGATTGAATTACTCCTACTCAAATTACAAAGTCGTGTTCATTGCATCAGGATATCTCTCTCTTCCTTCTGCTACTGTGACGTCATAAGTGGTCAGCGATGCCAACAGCACGCTGGAACTCTATACTCGCTCGAGGGTCCTTGTAAAGTGCTGATCGTGGGTCCCTGATATGTCCCAGCAGACGTGTTTGGCACTCCACAACATAATTATGTTGGCATCGGGATAGAAAGCACTTGACAGATTTACAGATTTGCTGTGACTGCTGAACTCTTTTGAATGTGTATGAACATGCCGTTTTTACTATTCTAATGTAGTTTCTGTTTACCACTCTTGTTTATTTACGGAACTTGCAACACAATTAGGTCTTGGAGTGCTGAAGATTAGAGGTGTTACTAGAGAGTAACAAGTACCAAAAAAAAAGGAGGAGAAATATGGATGTTACAAGTTTGACGAGGAAAAAAAAAGACACAAACCACACCAAGGCCCAATCAAACAGCCATATTTTGCTCTTGCGTTCTCCGAATTAACACTTTGCTGTCACACAGCCAGCAGTACAGAATACCCCATCTGGCCACCCAGCCAGGAGAGTGACTGCAACGGACTTCTCGGGCCTGGTGCAGAACTGCGCCAGGTGACCGGAACGGACGATTTTCACTTGCACATTATTGCGGCAAGTGACTGCAACGTGTTAAGAATGATTGTCATAGCATTTATATGTATATTTTCTGTTCTTTCACTCATATGTGAATGTCTGTGCTGCATTAGGTTTGGAATGTACTAAGCTCTCCTTATCGTCTTGTTTTAGGATCCTGGACAACATGCCCATCACCTGGTGCTACAAGGTGGAGTCTGGGGACACCTACTGCTCCACGGGCTTCCCCATCGGCTGCTACGTCACCAAGTTTGGAAACAGGAAGGACACTTGCATCACACAGGTTAGTGTGGGCGGTTGGACACTGCTACTGGTGCTAGCTCCTATGTTGTTTCCTTCGTTTCCTTCTATCTGTTTGGGGGTTCTCATTACAAAAGCTGGTTTGTGGAGGAAGCAGTTGTTGGAAGGCCTGTCTCCTGCATTGGTCGCTTTTAAGGACAGGCAAGCTAACCCAGATTTCAGAGGTTTCAAGAAATCTTGACCTACACCAAAAATGGGCCTTGCACTACCTAAGGAGAAGTTTGGTTTCTTTGGTTTGTATATTTGTTTGGTTATAGAGAAACTCTCCTTGTCTTTTAAGGAAACTGAACAAGGGTCCAAAAACTTTACCTTTGATTTTCTCAAAACAGCATTTTTTGGGATAGCCCCTTTGTGCTTAAAGTGACCAATTAGCCTTGCTGGGTTGTTGTTGTTGTTTTTTTTGGGGGGGTGTCTTTTGCTAGTGTTAATTAATTATCAATATCATATCAATGTGTTTAACTCACACAAACAGGTGCAAACATATATTTGCAGCAACCTTGTGCAAAGAGTGTGTCTTTTTGGTGAGGAGCACTGTATGCGAAGATTGGCCTCAGTATGGATGTATTTCTTCTTATACGCGCAGCACATATCTTTTGCCTTTGCTAGTACAGCTATAGAGACCATAATTCAGATTGTCTGAAAGTCAGCTGGTCTATATGTCTTTCCCATTTATTTCAGCACAGTAAGTATTGTATCGGTTCTAATCCTAGACTGTGTGTGGGTGCTTGGCAAGTGCTCTGGTGTGGTTTGCTTCTACTTTCTATCGAACATCTATTGTCCTGATCTCTCCCCCTTCTTTTTTTGTGTTTATTACTCTCTTGTAACACCTTTAATCTTCGACTCTTATATGACTTGATTGTGTTGCTAGTTCTGTAAAACGCTTACTAAAACTAAAACCTTTACTGTGCTCTCTTGTACTCAGGATATTTTGAGTATTTTTTATGGGCCCCCCCCCCCCATTTCTTGGCTCTGTCAAAATGGACATGTTGAGGGGGGGGTGGGGGTTGTTTGTTTTTATTTGACTGTTGTGAGACAGTTTCGATGTGTCCGTTCGTGATTCCCTGTGGTTTGTTTCTCTGGTTGGTAGCCGAGCATGACCAAGATGGACACGTACTACCTGTATAATCACGTGGACATCTTCGTGGAGTACCACCCTCTGTCCGACGAGGACTGGAGCGCCTCACACGTCGGCACCGGCGGGAGAATCGTTTCTGCGAAACTCATACCCAGAAGGTAAAATGGTATTTTGGGGGTGGCTGGCGGGTGCTCTAGTGTGGTTTGCTTTCTTTCCTATCAAGCATCTATCGTCCTTTTCTCCCCTTCTTCTTTTTTTTGTTTTTGACTCCCTTGTAATACCTCCAATCTTCGGCACTCATATGACCTTATTGTTGCAAGTGCCGTAAAACTCCTTCTAAAACTAAACTAAAATGGTATTTTGTGTTTAAAAGTATATCGTACTTTGGTTGAAGTACCTTTGTTGTAATAATGAAAATATGACATCAATTACATGAAAACATTTCTGGTGTTTATTCTTCATTTTATTTGTAATTTTAAAAAAGAATTCCAAATAGTTAAATAGTAATGCATTCTTGGTGGGTGGTTGGCGGGTGCTCTGGTGTGGTTTGCTCCTTCTTTCCTATCAAACATCTATCGTCCTTATCTCCCCTTCTTCTTTTTTATGTTTGTTACTCTCCTGTAACACCTCTAATCTTTTGGCGCTCATATGACCTTATGCAGTTGCGAGTGCCGTAAAACTCTTAGTAAATGCATTCTTGAGGAGGAACCTGGGTTCTGAGGACTTTCATAAGAATGGGCCTGATTAAGTATAGTTGTAACAGTTGTTGTCTGCATGATATAAAAGGGTTAGATAGATTTAGTTGTCAATAAGATTTATGCTTTTGTAAACTCTACCTTTGGACTTACGTAAAACTGTTTTGCTCGTTTACTTATAAAACATATAAAACAACGCGCTTAATTAAGTTTGCAGATGACTCCGCTATTATTGGATTAATAAACCTTGATGAAAAGGAGTATTTCGAAGAAATATGTATGTTTTTTAAATAGTGCAATTCAAATTTTCTAAAAGTGAACCTCTCAAAAACAAAGGAAATGATTTTTGATTTTAGAAGAGAAAAACCAACAATACCACCACTCGTAATTGAATGAGAAACTATTGAAATCACGGACTCATACAAATATCTTGGCCTTACAATAGACAACAAATTTACATAGCAAAACAACGTAAACAATATCGTTAAAAAGGTAAATCAGAGGCTGTACTTTCTGAGGAAACTAAAGTCTTTCAATCTGAATCCATCCATCCTTCATATATTCTACACCACCACAATAGAAACTTTGATAAATTTTGGTATCACTTGCTATGGTAGCAATTTGGAAAGGCAGCTCATTATAAAAATAAGTTGATAAGAAAGGCATCAAGAACAATTGGTAGAGACCTAAGTAACTTTGAATATCTGCACACGACAAACGTTCTAAAAAAGGCAGAAATAATGCTTAGTGACCATACCCACCCACTGACATCGGAACTTCAACTATCGACCCGCTGTAAACGATACATTTCCAAAAAAACAAGAACAGACAGATATAGAAATTCATTCGTACCAACTGCAGTGAGGTTACTGAACACACAGTGCTACAAATGAAACAGAGAGAGAGAGAGAATGTTTTACGGAGCGGGTTGTCCCAGCACGTGAGACATGTATTTACTTGGCCTAATGTCCTGTCTTGTTGTGTGTTTGCGTGAGTGCACCTTTAAGTCTAACTTTTGTAACGTCTACTGCCATTGTTAACGACCAAGACAAATTTCTCCCTACGAGATAAATAAAGATTGTCATAGTCATTGTCTGTATCCACCAGTGCGGTGAATGAGTGGTTGCTCTTCTGCTCGCTCACTCTGTCCTCAGTCCAGGGGAAAGTTTTTTTAATAGACGTATGATAAGAAAGAAGGGGAAAATCTCACAAGAGCATCTGCCAACACTCGTGTAGTGAGTTTATTCTAGGGCCGTTCAAGCATGTGACTTCTTAGTCTAATCTCAAAGAAGCAAATGTGTCATGGCGTGGTGGAATCAGACAGTCGTCAATTTTTGGGCATGTGAAGTTATTTGCATCATCTGAAAGCTGATTTATTTGACTTGCTTCTAATGAAATACTATCCATCTATCTTAAATAGAGCTCAAAATATTTGCGATTGAAGAAAGTGAGGTTGGCTGGTTTCAGTGGTGAAATTAGTGAGAAAATGGCTACCAAAGTCTTGTAACTCCAATAGCTAAACAGTCCTTGAAATTCACATGGAAATGTGTTTATATATGCACATAAAAGAAGTTGGGCTAAAAAAATAAAAATTCATTAAAAACGTTCAAACATGCGGGAAAAAGCTTGTTTTTAAGATTTCAGTATTTTGACAAGCGCCTGATTTCACCAGGCTGCGTCACAAATCATGTTACATGATATAACATGTCATATGATGTCCTTGTGTCCCCAGCATCAACCACCCAGACCAGGGCAGTGACTCGTGTAACAAGGGCGGTGTGCTGGGCTTCACTGGTGGCAAGCTGGACGAGAAGCTGATCATCAGATACACCTACTCTGTCAAGTGGAAGGTTTGTCTGCTTAGGACTTGGTTGTGTTTAGCCGTGGATTTTATCTTGTTGTTGCTTTGTGGGTTTGTTGGGGGGGGGGGGGGGTTAAGAGGGGTTCCCATTTCTGAGAAGTGGTTGGTGGGTGCTCTATTGTGGTCTGCTCCTTCTTTCCTCTATCAAACATCCATCATCCTTATCTCTCCTTTTTTTTTTTTTGAGTTTGTTACTCTCTTGTAACACCTCTTATCTTCGGCATTTGTTTTACCCTATTGTGTTGCAAGTGCCGTAAAACTTACCTTTTTTTAAATTTTTTTTTATACTAAAAACAAAAATCTGAGAAGCAATGAACTATCCTTGCAATAAACTTACTGTTTTATTAGAAACAAGATGGATTTGATGGGGTTTAGTTGATTTATTTTTTTGTGACTGTAAATGACGTAGTGGTGCACTATGCGTTAGCTTTGCCAGCTTGCCGTATATATCGAGAGTCAACTGTGAGGCCTAGAGTCAGTAGTGTAGCCCCACCCATGGCACGCCACTGCTAAGCTTCTCGTACAGTAATCGACCAGACCTATGCGCCGATTCTTCTTTCCTGTTGTGGAAGAACCGGTCACCAATTGTTCTGGTACATGCTTTGTGAACTCAGTGATGATGTGTGGATGTTTGGTGGCACCCTAGTGGGGTTGGGGGGCTCTCGTGGCCTTGAGGTTAAGGTGTTGGCCTCTCATTCAAAGGTCCAGGGTTCGAATCTGGGTAGCAACGGAAAAATTTTCTTCTCTAAAATTGTCTCCTTTCACCTCCTTTCCTGCTCTCTAGCAATGTTCTGTTGTCTGCTTTCTTTTCCACTCTCTGCCCCACCCCCTCACCTCTTTTGCCCCCTTCTCTGGGCTCCTGACTCTTTCTGCAGCCTTTCTACTGCTTCTTGGTTCCTCCAAACTGCTGTCTTTCTGTCACACCCCTGATCATCTGGTAGGAAAGATCTACACCTAGCCTTCTCGGACAAGGGCGAAAAATCTCGGAGGGCCCGTGTGTTTGTTGCGCACGTTAAAGATTCCTTGGTGGTCTAAAATCGATAAGAGTAGGCTTCGGCCGCCACCCGGGCAAAATTCAAAATTTCCAACCAACTGAAAATATTAGGTGTGACCCGCGCGCTCATATGACCTTATGCAGTTGCGAGCGCCGTAAAAACACTTACCTAGTGGAATAGTTGTCGGTTTCTGCCAAAACTTGGGTATTTTCTTGCTGTTCCCCTGCAATACAGTTAACTTCCAACTCATCTCAATGCTCAACTTTGTGGGTGGTTGGCGGGTGCTCTGGTGTGGTGTGCTCCTTCTCATCCTTATCCTTCGTCCTTCTTTTTGTGTTTTTTACTCTTCTGTAACACCTCTAATATTTGGCGTTTACATGACCTTATTGTGTTGCAAGTGCTGTAAAACTCTTACTAAAACAAAGGAAAGTAAGACAACCAGAGCTGCTTGTAACGGAGTACTTTACATTACAATTTTCAGTACTTTTACTGTACTCTGGTACATTTTTGAGAACCAGGGCTTTTAATCTACTCCGATACTTTTTATAAAAGTACTTTGAGTATTTTTAATGTATATTTTGAGTACTTTGCTAGCGACTTCGTTGTGTTTTGGGGTGGTTTTGTGAATTTTTCTTTTTTGTTTATTAAAGAGGGGTTCTTGTGTTTCACGCACTCATATAACCTTATGCAGTTGTGAGTGCCATAAAACTCTTACTAAAACTAACAAACAAAAGAGGAGTTCCTTTCTCTGAGAAGCAATGAATTGTCCTTGCAATAAACTACTGTTTTATTAGAAACAAGATGGATTTGAAGGGGTTTTTGTAGGTTTTTTTGTCTTGGCTGTAAATGATGTAGCGATTCTATGCGCGAGCTGAACTGGCTTGCCATATATACCAAGAGTCAGTTGTGAGGCCTAGAGTCAGTAGTGTAGCCCCACCCATGGCACGCTACTGCTAAGCGTCTCGTACAGTAATCTACCAGACCTATGCCACGATTCTTCTTTCCTGTTGTGGAAGAATCGGTCACCAATTGTTCTGGTATATGCTTTGTGAACTCAGTGATGATGTGTGGATGTTTGGTTGGCACCCTAGTGGGGTCTGTTTTTCCCTGTTTCTTTTAAGTGTTAGAAGTGCAATAGTTTTTCGTTTTCTTGCCAAATATGGGTATTGTCTTGCTGTTCCCCTACAGTACAGTTAACTTCCATCTCGTCTCAACGCTGAACTTTGTGGGTGGTTGACGGGTGCTCTGGTGTGGTGTGCTCCTTATCGTCCTTATACTTAGTCTTTCTGTATTTTTTACTCTTTTGTAACACCTCTAATATTTGGTGTTAACAAGATCTTATTTTGTTGCAAGTGCTGTAACACTCTTACTAAAACAAAGGAAAGTAAGACAACTGCTCCACTGTGCTGCCTTGTTGTGAGCTTGATGGTCGTGACCTTCCCTTTCAGGAAAACACCAAAATTAAGTGGACGTCCCGCTGGGACTACATCCTGGAGTCTATGCCGCACACCAACATCCAGTGGTTCAGGTAGGTTGTCCAGTTGGTGGGCTCTGAGTGATGTTATACACACACATACACACACACACACCCCCTGACACGTCTTTTTCAGGCCTGCCAATCTTCCCGATTTTATCGGGAATTTCCCGAATCAGATGCGCTCTTCCCGACAGCGGTCTTGATTTCCCGATTTCGTAGCGAGCTATATTGTAACAGCTAGACACATACCTGTTCGCCCGTTCTACGAACGGTGATATAGTGATAGGAAAGCCCAACAGAGTGGACAATTTCAACTTTTATGTGCTCTTGATATCTAAGAGACAATGTTGGGTTGTACGGAACAACGAAAGAGTTGTCTACACGGACCTCGGAACCACGTACTTTCACCGTCTAACCGCACTTCTGTTCTTGCGAACTACTCACACGCACGAAGAAGCACATATGAAACAGAAGTAGTCCCCAGTAAAATATGAAATGGCTAATGGCAGAGTGAACACATCTAAGAGTTTTGATTTACCTGAAAAACCTGAAAGATCAAAAGGTAGTTTGAACTTTGAAAATGTGCCCTTGTAACCCTTTGGGACAAGTCTTGTCTGAATCATACTTTTGTAGATTTTATGTTAAAAGGGTATACTGACCCTACGAACGGGCTTAGCTCCATTATAATAAGATTATTTGCTCAAACATGACGGATGAAATTGATGATACCGGAGCCTGTGTGAGACTAAAATATCCAGATTAGCCGCGTGTCCGTTACTGTTTGGCGGTTCGGCTACATATAATGCTCAAGTAAACCTGGCAACGCAATTTGTGCGCTACATTTACTCGATCCCGACTCAGTGTTGCCTCATTGGCCATAAATGAGGAGATCTTCGTGCTGATTTTCCCTATTTTGCATTTTCTAAAGTTGGCAGGCTTTGCCAACGGTCTTGAATTTCCCAAGGCTGCCCCCTTCCCCAGGGTTGTGCTGCTGACTGAAGTTGTCTTTAGGCCATTCCCAAAGGGGGATATTAACATGTTCTTATGCACGGTAGAATTGTAAATGGGCTGATTTATCTATGTCATGCTCATACTGTGCCGGAACAACATATAGGGAACTGCTGCTTTTTCTTTCCTCATCCTTAGTATTGTCATTTTTCTTCTACTTTTTTTATATGTTTGTCACTCTCTTGTGAACTGCTATTTTCGAGGTGCCTTGATTAGCAATGCCAATGAAAATTTAAATTTTCACTTTAGCCCCTTTTTTTTTTTGGTACCTAAGAAAGAATTTTCAATTCTAAGAATTATGCTTCTTGAATTTTGAGAATCGGTTCATAAATAAAAAAAAGTTATGGGGTTGTAAAGGTAGGCAAAATATGGATGACCCACATATAGGAAAATACTCCTAAAAAGTGGACCACGCAGTAGCAGATTCTGTAAGAAAATCGACGATATCTCGGTAACTAATCGGAGTGTTCGAGAGAAACTTGGCTACCCGATGTGTTTTTGAGTGTAGAAATCATTTCTGCAGTCAGATTTACTACCAATTTCGTAGTTATTTTGTTATAATTAAAATTGTGGTGTACATATTACGATTTTGCGAAAAAGGGGTGTCAGGATGAGTCCATTTTTTTTATAGCATCGTATCACAACATAGGATCTTTAAGAATATATGTCGGCAGCGTGACTAAATATTTGCAAAGCTTTTTATGATGACTTTAGACCATGCCAACCGTAAAAGATAAGTTAATTCAATCTAGCATGCCGTACAATTAAAAATTATTTTTCCCCGTTGAGACACGAACACCCCGAGACGAGATAACCTCGCCTTGGAATACCCCCATTGCGATGTTACAGGGGAATAGAGAAAAAAACGACCGGATGCGCGCGCCCGCCATTGCCCTATTTCAAGTGACCAATGAACGGGCCCGGAATAGTCATGCGGGGATTTGTAGGTCACATACATTTGTCACGAGAGTGAGGGGAAAATGGCCGGTCTCCGTGCGAAGCCGCTTAGGATAGGAGGGTAGTCGTGCATTTATGATCGGGTCTAAACAACTGCTTGACACAGAACGTTCAAATTTGAGCACACTATAGAGGATAGATAGATCTATTACCATCTCGGCGTTGAAATTCAAACTCCTTATAGTTTTCGGTGTACACGATACGAAAGTGTTCCCGACACCAAAAGTATAGGTTAATTTATGTGTACAAACTTCAACGTCCACATATCATTAGTTTGCCCTATTTTCTGATTGGTTGCCGAGTTTCATTCGGATTGGTTCGGAAATAGAGCAGACCGAGGTTGACAAAGTAAGTCACCTACGCTTCGGCCGGGTCCGCAAAATCGCCCGTAAACGGGGACCAAATTTTCGCCTCGCGGGAAAGCCCGATTGGCATTGCTACCTTGATAGTCGAAGCAGACTTTGTGCTGTTGTGGCTAGAGGGGTGAGCAGAGTAGGTTTGGTTCCCTGTAAGGACTTCCCTGTTGACATCCACCCCTTGGCGCTCATATTACCTTATGCAGTTGCGAGCGCTGTAAAGCCCTACTAAAACTAAAACTAGTTTTGTATGTTCCACATGATTGTTTTTATGTTCCTGTTCCAAAATGTGGATATTGATATTGTGTTTCACAACATTGTTATTGTGTTTTACAATATTGCTATTGTTAAAGTGTTCCACAGTAGTGTTATTGGTTTCTTGTTCCACGCCATTGTTTTTGTTATTGTTTTCTACAAGATTGTTAAAAGTAATCCACGTGACTGGTTGGCGGGTGCTCTGGTGTGATTCGCTTCTTCTTTCCTGTCAAACATCTGTCATCCTTTTCTCCCCGCTTTCTGTTTTGTGTTTGTTACTCTCTTATAAAACCTTTAATCTTCAGCAATTGTATGACCTCATTGTGTTGCAAGTGCTGTTAAAAAAAACTTACACAAACAAAAACCACAATGTAAAATTGATTTTATTATTGCGTTCCACAATAGTATTATTGGTTTTGTGTTCCAAACTGTTTTTGTTATTGTTTTCTACAATATTGTTAGATGAGTTCCTCAACATGCTTGAAAATTGTGTGTGTGGGTGGTTGGCAGGTGCTCTGGTGTGGTTTACTCCTTCTTTCCTATCAAACATCTATCGTCCTTATCTCCCCTCCTTCTATTTTGTGTTTTGTTACTCTCTTGTAACACCTCTAATCTTCGGCACTTATATGACCTTATTCTGTGTTGCAAGTGCCGTAAAACTCTTACTAAAACAAAAACTGTGTGTTGTCCCCAGCATCATGAACTCTCTGGTGATCGTGGTCTTCCTCTCCGGCATGGTGGCCATGATCATGCTGCGCACACTGCACAAGGACATCGCTCGCTACAACCAGATCGACAGCTTGGTACGGGCTAGGTAGAATGTATACACACACTGTTGGTGTAACTCTGCCTATATGTTTATAGATTGTGGGTAGTTATTTGCTGTTATATGTCGAGGGCCTCCAAGTAAACTTTGGTATTGTGTTGCAATTGCCGTAAAACTTTCTTAAACTGAAAAAAGAATCGTACCAAAAGCCCCCCCCTCGAAAAGGAAAATATAAAACCAAAACAAACTTTTACCAAAACCAAAAGAACTTACCAAAACAAAACAAAAACCTTAACCAAAATTTTACCGAAACAAAATCAAACTTTTTCCTGACCCGAAAGAACTTTTACCAAAACAAAAACAAAAACAAAAATTTTACCAAAACTCTATAAGAATCAAGTCACTGTCTGTGTCGTTCCCTTCCCCCAGGAGGACGCCCAGGAGGAGTTTGGCTGGAAGCTGGTGCACGGTGATGTGTTCCGTCCCCCGAGGAAGGGAATGTTCCTGGCCGTTCTGGTGGGCAACGGTTGCCAGCTCTTCTTCATGACCCTCATCACCCTCGGTGAGTGGCTGGTTGGTTGGCGGGTGCTCTGGTGTGGTTTGCTCCTTCTGTCCCTATCAAACTTCTGTTGTCCTTATCTCCTCCTCCTTTTTCGTGATTGTTACTCTCTTGAAAAGCCTCTACCCTTCGGCACTTTTATGACATAATTGGCAGGTGCTTGGATGTGATATGCTCCTTCTTTCCTATCGAACATCTGTCGTCCTTATCTCCCCTCCTTCTTTTTTGTGTTTGTTACTCTCTCCGCCTCTAATCTTCGGCACTTATTGTGTTGCGAGCGCCATAAAACTCTTACAGGTGCTGTAAACGGCTAACCAGAACAAAATATTTTTAACTTCTTTTGTACTCGCTTCTCCTTTTCTTTGTTAGCTTCTCTCTCTTGACAACTTGGGCACTTATGTGGCATAAACTGTAAAACTCTTACTAAATTATAATTGTCCCTATGGCATAGGGAGCATAATCATCACAGCCATTCTCACCCTGGATCAGGGTATAGGCCAGCGCTGATAAACACATTTCATTTATTTCTATCTTTGGGCTAGTTTCTTGATAGTGTTATTCTATTATTTTTGGGGGGTTCAGAGATAACATCTTTTACCGTGGGTGGTTGGCGGATGCTCTGGTGTGGTTTGCTCCTTCTTTCCTGTCAAACATCTATCGTCCTTATCTCCCCTTCTTCTTTTTTATGTTTGTAACTCTCTAATCTTCTGGCGCTCATATGACCTTATGCAGTTGTGAGTGCTGTAAAACCTCTACTAAAATTTTTAAAAACGAACCATCTTTTACCTGTAGTCTTGTCATCTTCCCAGCTCTGTTTTTGTCTGATTTGTTTTCCTTATGACCTAGTCAAAGGAGATAAAATACATGAGAGACCTTACAATGTGGAGTTAGCCTTTGGAATAATCTGTATCTAGCTTGGAGCTTAAACTGGACCAAACCACTGACATGCAGTGACTGTTGTCATAAAAAAGTTGAGGTCTATCTTCAATTTATGGGAATAAATACAATGGGGATGGGGGGGGGGGGGGGTGTATAAAAATTAATCAATTGAGATTGGTTCTAATGAAGTACTGAAAAGTTTACTGTAGTAAACAGTTTGTTTGTGTATATGTGTTTGTGCGGGCGTATGTGTGTTGACGAGTATGTGTACATATATATGCAGACCTGCCACTCATCCCAATTTTTTGCGCCAAATCTCAATCATCCCGATTTTCCCGATTTCGATCACCAGTATCCTGATTTTTTGTCATCACGTCAGTTGCGTCCGATTCTTAGAAAAAAATATAAAAAGTTGTGCAATCTCTTTTGCTTGGAAGCACCAATTAGATTTTTTATCGGCAGGAACTTGGAACGCTACTTTCTGAAGCATCTATGCCGAATCTAGTAGATGACTCTCGCACGTTATTTCAACTAAAACCGACATAGTATCAATTTTGAATTCCGACATGGACACGCTCAAGATGTGCTTTCGCTTTTATAACCCAGAATTCTCCGACTGTGTCCTGATTACTGTAACAATTATGTCATGGGCCTAAGAATAATCTATTCATTGTTCTGCCGTTGGTTTAAAAGCAAGCTTCGTCTTGAGTTCTGGTTAGTCGGGCCCATCATCAAGACCTGTCAGTGGAACTTTCAAACGCTCATTCGCAACACATGACATGACCTCGTACGTGTGAGTAGCGCGTGTGTCGGGGACCGTCGGCTGTCGGGGTCAGCAAAGTTCATTCACACCAGTCGCCTTGGTCGGGGTGTTTTTCGGGACTTAACCAGTGTGGACGACTGGGGGGAGCGGGTGGGGGTATTGCTTTGACACTTGGGCTTAAAGTGCGTGCTGTGATACATGTAGAATCTACTAATTGAAGATAAAGGAATAAGAAAAAAGAAATAAATGAACAACCTTGGCACGATCTTTTTTTCGGGGGGGGGGGGGGGGGTGCGCCTTGAGTGTATAATGCGATGTGAGTCTAACGTTGTTACTGTATGAAAACGCGGGCTTTTTGCATGGATGATAAGAGTTATGTGTCAACTATTTTCAAGACTACGAGAGTTTCAGCTTTACTGCAACCTGCACTCCCTCAGTCTATGCCACTCCAACTCGAGTAATGCTGTCTTTCAGTTTTCCCTCTATTTAGTGGCCCAAACGTGAACTTATTCCTGCACAAGTTTTCTCTTGCTTACTTTCCTCATAAAAGGGAACCAGGACCCCCCTTCCCCAGTACCCCTTATGACTGATTTGCCGTTGATCCCGATTTTTTTCACCAGATCCTGATTTTTTTACTCTAAAATCCTGATTTTTAGATTTCATAGAGTGGCAGGCCTGTATATGCGTTTACAATGCTGCTGCAAATTTCTCTTTGTAGAGATCAATGAAATCTTACCTTATCTCCAGTGTTTGCCTGCCTAGGATTCCTGTCGCCTGCCAACAGAGGAGCTCTGATGACCTGTGCGCTGGTAGGTCTTTAGCTGGTGTCACAAAGTGGAATGTGGTAATGCTCTTTGGCTTTGATGAACTGTTTAAATGTGGCTCTGTTTTATTCTTGGTGTGGGTTTTTTTTTTAAAGTTTTGTTTGTGATTCTGTTCAGGTCATAATAATACACTGAAATATTGTAAATACGCATGTAAATAGGTCTTTACCATATTTACAAAGATTTCTATAAATGACTGTCCGTCCTTTTAACACGGTGATAGATTTGTTACTATAAAACTTGTTGGCACTTACATGACCAAAATTGAGTTGATAGTGCGGTAAAATACCTATTCAATCAATCGATCAGGTGATAATATTATGAAGTAGCAGGAGAGTATTAATTACTGTATGGATAGTTATAAACATTTTTATTGTTGTTGTGTCCCCAGGTATTGTACGTATGCCTGGGAACCCCAGCTGGATACATCTCATCTAGAATTTACAAAAGTAAGTCTCATGACAAACGGGGCTGGGGTAGGCCCAAAGCAACCTACTTAGAGAGCCAAAGCAAATGGGTAACGGGGAAAGATAAGGGAAACGTAGCTTTTTTTTAAAGAGCATCCGAGCAAAGGAATGATTGGAGAACCATGATCACCTGATGTCTGTCGCAGATCTGGCACTGGATGATGTTGATGATGATGACTAAGTCTCGTGAGATTTGTTTTGAGAATGTGTAAAGTTTTTGTCTTTGTCTTTCTATGAGGATATCTACCAGAGGCTGGTGAACCCTGGAAATAGCAGTTCACAAGAGTTGTATGTTTGTCACTCTCTTGTGAACTGCTATTTCGGGAGTGCCTTGATAGTCGAAGCAGACTTTGTGTTGTTGAGGCTGGAGAGGTGAACAGAGAAAGCATGATTCCCCGTTTGGACTTGTTTGTTGACATCCCTTGGTTTTGACCGAATTTATCAAATTTTTTTCCCCCAGCTTTTGGAGGGGAGAAGTGGAAGTCAAATGTGATCCTAACAGCGTTTTTCTGCCCTGGGTAAGATTTATTTTTAACACATTACACCCTAACTCGCCCGGGATCGCCCGGGAATTCCCTTACGCGCTCCACCCTGACTCGCCCGGAACCGCCCGCGCCGACCCAGCGTCTTTAGAAACGAAAGTCTCGCCTTGACGAGACTCTGGGGCCGGGATTTTGATTTGCATAGTATAGCAAAAAGTTTCTTCTTTCGTTTGATACCGAAACGAAATTTTTCGGGCCAGTAGTTTTAGTATTAGAGCTGATCGAAGTGCGATCGCGTTACCGACACTTCGAAAGTGTCTCGACTTGTTGAAAAGCGACACAATTGAGTTCGAAAACGGAAATAACGATGGATTTGAGCAAAAATGAGCATGTGACAAATCAGAAGGCTCAGATTTTGATGAAAACGTTGTAGGAAGAGTTTGGGGCGATTCCGATTGATCAGACGGAGAAAATCTAGAATTTAGACCTAGGGCCCGACTGCGAGGCTGAGAGTGAGAGTGATGGGTCAGACACCCCGATTGAACTAAAGTGACAACATTTCCAACAGTTTGCGCATACATAAAGTTATATTTTTCTGAAACTACATTCAGTTTTCTTTTTAACTTTTATTTTTTCAGGATTTTTGGAATTTGTTTAGTATTTTTAAAATGTGTTTTTTAAAGGCTTGTATTCACGAGAGGTGGGTTCCTTCCCCTTGCTTAGGATCTAGGAATGGACTTCCCGTCCAGGCCCTTAGGGTGTAATGTGTTAAAAGAAGGACTGACCTGTTGTGCGTTTGTTTTTAACACACATGGCCATAGGCGTAAAAGTCTACAGGAATGTAAATGTCTGTCGTCTCAATATGTTCTGACTGTATGTTGCTGCTGTGGACTGTCAGGGCAAATGCTTCATTTTAAAAATTGGTGACCAGTTGTTCAAGTTTACGATGCCCAAAATTTCAAATTTTTATTTTCTTGCAGCTTTTTATTGTGTGGTATCGGTTGCATTCGCTCAAGAAATATTTTGTCGAAATTTCAATTTTAAATGATGAAAAAAGGCAAGATAAAGTCCATGATTCAGGTACAACTGTTTAAATTATGAAACCGATTTTCTGGGCTTACTATATTTGCACAGCTTGTGGACAAAATGTTTTCTATCTTGTCGTGTGTCATATTGATTGCAAGCACTTTTTTGTTGTGCATTCTAAGTGAAAATAAATTTTCTCTGCTTTTGTGCTATTGTGATGTCAGAATGGGATTGTGCACTGCATGGGTGAAGTGATGCATGTTCAGTTTTTTTTTTAAGAAACCCAAAAAAGTGTAGGCTTTCGTGGTTAACAATCGCTCATTTTCTGTGTTGTATAAATCATGTCTTCATTTCATTTTTCCATTTAAAGTATATAAATATATCTTTTGATGTGTGTAATACAGCGCTCTGATTTTTTTTTAGGTTGGTGGAAGAACCCCATTTTTCTATTTTTTTAGGGACCCATTTTTTTTATCGAATTCTGTTTCCATCAGTGACACTCAACTTTATTGTAAATGGCGGGGAAAATGCGCAGCTTTATTCCCGTTAATTTGCAATATTTGCTTGACTTGTAAATGATGTGAGAATACACGTATATTTTCATTTGTTTACTATTTACGTTTATTTGCCGGGATAGGTTTGTAATGTAATCCACGTCTACTGGGCTTCTGTAGATTGATTTTTTTCCCCAAACTCCAATTTTTAGGGAGGATTCTGAGGAAAGCTCGTATTTTGTTAATGATGGCGTTGGCAGGTCTGCTGATGTAATGCCAGAAAATACTTGTGCCATCTGTGATTTTTTTTTTTTTTTTTTTTTTTCTAGCTTGGTGTTTGGCATTTTGTTCTTACTCAACTCGTCCTGATGATGATGATTCTAACAATGATAATTGTTATTTGTATTATTATTAGCGCTATTATTTATTTAAAAAATTTTCAGCTTGGTGTTTGGCATTTTGTTCTTACTCAACTCGTCCTGATGATGATGATTCTAACAATGATAATTGCTATTTGTATTATTATTAGTGCTATTATTATTTTTTTCATAATAATATTTTTTTCCAGCTTGGTGTTTGGCATTTTCTTCTTGCTCAACCTGGTGCTGTGGGCTAAGCAGAGTTCGGGGGCCATCCCCTTCACCACGCTCCTGGCGCTACTGGCTCTCTGGTTCGGCATCTCTGTGCCGCTCACCTTCATCGGGGCCTACTTTGGCTTCAGGAAGAGGGTGAGTGGTGGTGGTGGTGGTTGTCTTGACGAAGGTGGTTGTGGTGGTTGTCACGGTGGTGGTGGTGGTGGTGGCAATCTCTTTGCTATGGCGTGTTTGATAATGGAAGCAGGTCTGGTGCAAATTTTGTTCTGATCGGACGGACGGTAAAATAATATTTCAGCTTCAAACAAATGGGGAATGAAAGCAACCTTGTTTTTTGTTTCCATTTCTTCAATTGTTAAAACACTGTCAAATCTGTCAAGCGGGTGGTTGGCGGGTGTTCTGGTGTGGTTTGCTCCTCCTTTCCTATTTAACATCTGTCGTCCTTATCTCCCCTTCCTTTTTTTGTGTTTGTTACTGTCTAGTAACACCTCTAATCTTTGGCCCTTAAAAGACCTCATTGTGTTGCAAGTGCTGTAAAACTCCTGCTAAAACCAAACAAGTTTTGTTGCCTTTTTGTCTTAAAGGGTCTTAATTCATGTTCATTGGGACCCGTTTTGACCTTCACCTCCCGTTCTTTCGTGTCGACAGCCCATTGAGCACCCAGTGCGCACCAACCAGATCCCGCGACAGATCCCCGACCAGTCCCTGTACACCCGCCCGCTGCCCGGCATCGTCATGGGCGGCGTCCTGCCATTTGGCTGCATCTTCATCCAGCTCTTCTTTATCCTAAACAGCATCTGGTACGTTGGTTTCGGCAAGGATCGTACGTAACAAGTTGTTTCACTCATCTCTTGGAGCCATTTAAAAACGAGTCCTCGAAAATCCGGTGGCGCCCTTTTCGAAAAAGTGCTGACTTTGCAAACAGAGTTACCCTACTTGTGTGAAAAACAATATAAAAGCAAAACTAACAAATTGTGCCATTCCTATTCTTCTTCTGGAGAAATGAAAGACAGCTTCAAAACAAAGACTGCAGCGCCATCTGAACCAATGCCCCGACTTCTGCAGACACCTTTTTGACCGAGTGAACTATCTTGTTATGTACAATCTTTGGTTTCAGTCAGTTAGAAATTTGCCTTTTGTTTAGTTTTTTTTGTCAGAGGTTCAGTAAAGTGTGCTTTTTCCTATCCCAGTAAAGTGGTTGGTTGGCGGGTGCTCTGGTGTGATTTGCTTCTTCTTTGCTACCAAACATCTCTCCTCCTTTTTCTGTGTATGTTACTCTCTTGAAACACCTCTAATCTTCGGAACGCATATTACCTAATTGGTGTGCAAGTGCCTTAAACTCTCACTTAAACTGAAATTGAAACTGAGCTGTTGTAGTTGTGTTGGGCCTAAACTGGTTGGTGGGGATGGCCTGGAGTTACACTCGTTTGCTCCTTCTTTTGTATCAAACATTTGTTGTCCTTATCTCTCCTTTAAAAAAAACCCAAAAACTCTGTATTCTGTAGTAACTCCTCTTTGGGTGGGTGGTTGGCGGGTGCTCTTGTGTGGTTTGCTTCTTCTTTCCTGTCAAACATCTATCGTCCTTATCTCCCCTTCTTCTTTTTTATGTTTGTTACTCTCTTGTAACACCTCTAATCTTCGGCACTTATATGACCTTATTGTGTTGCAAGTGCCGTAAAACTCTTTACTAAACTAAAAAAAACTAAACTAATCTTCTGGCGCTCATATGACCTTATGCTGTTGCGGACGCCATGAAACTTCTACTAAAA